ATGCAGTTCGGGCTGGAGAACTGATGGTCTTCCAAGTATTGTTGGGCTGAAATTCCCATCACATGCTAACAGCAGTTCCCATTTATGAGGAATAATGGGAGTAAGAATTCATCAACATCTGGAGGGTCATATATCATTCCCCTTTCCTGGTCGACTGTGGCAGCAGGTGTGCAAGGTTCCAGTGGAGACTTTTTTCCCAGCTCTACCTGGAGATGTCACGGATTGAATTTAAGACTATTGAGAGACAGACCCTTCTCCTGAACACACTTCCCATTCAGCATACTCTCATGTCCTTCCACATAAATACACAAAGGGCTGTGGTGGATCTCTATTGTCACTTAAGTGAATAAGGCTCTTTCACAGGCAATAGGCCATATTCCAAAAATTACTAAACACCTTCTGTTGTTCTGAAATAGTTCCATGCAATGGGCTTACCCAAACTCTGCTTTTCTGAATTACCTTGCAGTTTCCTTAACATGCTAATCGGGAGGGGAAGTTAGTAGGGTTCTTACTCCTGTGTAAAATTGGACAGGTTTGCAGTGTTACTCTCTGACTTCTCCCTCCCTTTCCAACACTAAAAAACACCCTGACACAGGATGCCTTTTACCTTTCGGGGTTTGCTTTTGATAAAAAGGGTGTTTGATTTTCATTTTGTTTTCTAGCAATTAATTCTAGTTAATTAATTAATAGTTGAACAATTAATTGATATTAGAACCACTCTGTTTATTCTGAGTTTGTCATTTGCAGATGAAAACACTTTCTAGTTGTTTGACTGAAAATGTCCCATTCCCATCCAGTTTGGTTTACTGACACCAAGCATGCAATATTTAAATGTCCTTTTTTCCCTTTACAGTTTCCAGTTTACCTTGCTTGATTCATGCTTCTCACATTGAATGTTCCAACTGTATGTATTGTACACCATTGGATTTTCCTTTCACCTCAGTACACATCCGTCCCTAGACATTATTATTAGTAGTAGTACTGTAGTTTTATTTATACACCATATTTCTCCCAACAAGGGACCCAAGCAGCTCACAACATTAAAATTCACACAATTAAAAACACAATAAGTTAAATATTAAAAGACAAATTAAACAATATATGATTTAAAATTAAATTAAAAGATTAAAACATGAAAACATCAAAAATATTAAAATTTCTGCTAAAAATTGGTTCAGGGATTCAGTTATAATTGTTAAAAGCCTGCCTGTCTTTAGCTTTTTACAGAAGGATAAAAGGGAAAGGGCCGTTCTAATCTCCTGAGGGAGAGCGTTCCATAGCCTGGGAGCTGCCACAGAGAAGGCCCTCTCCCGTGTCCCCACCAGCTGTGCTTGTGCTGGCAATGGGACCGAGAGGAGGGCCTCCTCTGCTGATCTTAATCACCGAGAAGGTGCATATAGGGAGATACAATCCTTCAGGTAGCCTGGACTCAAGCTGTATAAGGCTTTATAGGTAATGACCAGCACTTTGAATTGAGCCCAGAAACAGACTGGTAGCCAGTGCAGTTCTTATAACAGGTGCAGTATATGCTCCCTGTAGCTCACCCCAGTCAGCAGTCTGGCTACAGAGTTTTGCACCAGCTGAAGTTTCTGAATCGTCTTCAAAGACAGCCCCACATCCTTTTGGCTTTAATCTAGTTGCATCATTAGCAACAGTGCTATCCATACTTGTCCTTTGCTCTTCCTCAATAGCTGACTGAGTGCTTTTCAGCATGGGTGTCTCATCTTCCAGCAATATCTCTTGTCTCATTTTGGACTTTCTCATCATTGGGTTTTTATGGTAAGAAAGGTTCACCAGTGGTTTAGCACTGCCTCCTTCTGTGTAGTACCAACAAAAGTTAACTTGAGTGTCATTGTCAATGTGTGTGAAACATTCTCTGCTAGCATCATCTTCAGCTACTGCTGCTGCCCACTAGCTGTTGTCCAGAGGTTTCTCTTCCCCCATCACCATTGAAGCTATCCATTCTCTTCTGCTGAGATAGATGGCCATTACTCTTGAAAACGTTGGATTCATCTTGTTCTGGTGCCTCATCTTTGGATGACCTTGTAGGAGTCCAGGTTTATAATGGAGGCTATTTCCTGGTGGCATTACTCTTCTCTGAAGAGTTGTGAACACTGTTTCCCTGGGTTTTAGCCATTTGCCATGTACTGCCCCCCCCCAAAAAAATGATGTTTTACAAACAATATTTTGCTCTTTCTGAATCTGCGTTATGTGATTAGCACTTTCTCTTCAGCTACTCAGCTTTATTAGCAATCCTGTGTTCAAAGAATATATAGCTTTATTAGCAATTGTGTGTTAGAAGATTATATAGCTGAGTTAAAAAGTCTTGTGATATGGGCAAATGTGTAAGAGGAGAAACAAGGGAAATGATATTCCATTTGGTGACATCTACCACTGAGGAAGATGGCATAGAAATGCTTGTTTTATAGAATGTTCTAAATCAAATAACAGTTTGTTTGCCTTCCTGTCACAAACTCACCCACGGGTTTTGTTTTGATAGCTCACTTAACCACACTCTATGTCTGCATTTGCTTCTCTCCATCTTCGGATTAGAAAAATATTTCCGATGGCCTCATCAAATGTTGATGCAGCATGATGTTTCAGCGCATTCTTTTTTAAAATAAGCACCACAGTCTTAAGAGTCACTGCTGATCAGGGTTAGTGCAGAGTTATGGAGCAGGAAGATAAAAATTATTGTGAACTAAGAATTTGAATCTCACAGCTCCTCACTCTCAGAAAAGAGCCTATACAGTATTATATATGTTACTTCACAGTAAGATTTGTGTGATAGTTTTCCTCAGAAATCTCACTGGAATTTGTGTAAGAAATTCCACAGTGATTTTACTGGGTGGGTGGGGGAGTGAAGTTGCACAGGATTATTGCAATTCCTGTGCAGGATGGTACTTTTCCTGTTCAGGATTTACCTTAAAATGGCAGAAGACACACCAAGATGTCCAGAGGTGCCTGCAATTCCTGCACATAATGCCATCTTTCTTACAGGATTTGCCAGAAAGGGCATCAGATTGCATAGAATCTGACAGTCTCCTGAGTGGAACAATGGGCAAAATTAAAGAAAATAAAAAAAACAAAGGAGAAGATTATTCAGGAAACTGGAAAATCTTGTGGATATCTGGAGAAGTTTGGGTGGGGAGTTTCAGCAGGACAAAACTTAAATTGCCAAGAATGAAGCATTTTGCTAGCACTTGTCATATCGCTATTTCAAACACATTCTAGAGTTTTGAAAAATTCCTTCTGGTTGTGGAATTCTGGGAGTTGTAGTCAAAAAAGTGACATGCTCTGTCCTGTTGCAGGTATTGTATGCATATGGAGAAGCATCCGTATAGTGCTTTCTAGGTTCCTCCTAGCACATTACCTTTAACAAATTGGGCCATTATCAGCAAGGGGAGGTCAGTGTTGACCTGCTGTCTCTCCATCCAGGTTAGCCTACTAAGACATTACTCAAGCTCCAAGGCTACAATTCTCGGCACATTTACATGGGAGTAAACCCCATTGAATATAGTGGCCAGAATGCTACTGCTGTTGAATCAATGGGATTTGCTTGATTCACCATTTAGCAATTGATCCAATAAGTCTACTTTAGTTGAGACTAGCAATGACATTTTGACCAATGTGGCTAACTTCAACATGGAAGTGGACTGGATTGTAATGGTTTGTACACAAAGAGAAAGGAGGGTGGGAAGCACACAGAGACCTCCAAACCTTCATAACCAAGTTTTATCTTGTGTGTATGCTGGAAGGCAAGTGAAGTGTGGGGAAAGGGGACTCTGCTGAAAGGTGATCACTGTGCTGTGATGTTTCCTCTCCACCCCTGTACTCAGATAGCTCATACCCTACATCAGTGGTTTCCATCCTTGAGTCTCCTGATGTTGTTGGATTACAATTCAACAACTGAAATTGTACTTCATAACCAAGTTTTATCTTGTGTGTATGCTGGAAGGCAAGTGAAGTGTGGGGAAAGGGGACTCTGCTGAAAGGTGATCACTGTGCTGTGATGTTTCCTCTCCACCCCTGTACTCAGATAGCTCATACCCTACATCAGTGGTTTCCATCCTTGAGTCTCCTGATGTTGTTGGATTACAATTCAACAACTGAAATTGTAATTTGAAATAATTTATAATAATAAATCATTTTATTACATTCTTTTAAATCCCAGTTGATAATGGCCACATGCTTGCTGATACACTGCCTTAGTTTTGACAGATGTGCTTTACAGATCAAGCCCATTTATTGGAATAGAGAGAAAAAAACCACTGAAATCTTGAGAAACATTTCCAATCTCATTTTCTTTCTCCTGTTGTGCTTGGGGGACTTAAGAACAGAATGGCCTGACAGAAGGTTGGCCGCTGGGGATCATTACTGCTAGGGGAGAGGACTACAAAAATCTCCAACTGTGTACAGGCAGCGGAACTGCTAATTCCTAGAGTAAGCCGCCTAGAGTAATCTTAATTGATTAGATAGGCAGGATATAAATAAAATAAATAAATAAATAAATAAATAATTCCCCAAACAGTATGAACAATGGGTAGGTATAATGGCCATTATAGTCCAACAACATCTGGGGATGCAAGCTAAGTGAAAAGATAATTGTTTTGGCGCCTTGAGATTTTTTCCCTAGCCTTCCTAAGAGCCTTCTAAAGAGGCATTAGATAATCTAGTGTGGTCTTGCTCGTTAAATATTCCTACACCCTGTTTTCTCCATGTGGTGGGAAAGTCACTCTTTTGCTCTTCCAGTGTAGGAATGGATTTGTTTTCTGTAAAGCACCGGGAACAGTTTTAACTATTTCAACATTTGAAAGAGAAGCTCTTCTTCACTTCCCCAGAAACTGTGGCGGCATCTGCTTCTGAACTAGGAAGCTAGACCAACCATGCAACAACTTCAGAAAACCTCTGTGACTTCCTGGAAACTGAAGAAGAAGTAAAGTTGTGTGTGTGTTTTTTTTTTAAAGAAGTGAGTCAAATTGTCTGTGACATCATTTTGCTATAGAGTGTGACTGTGGGTGGTTAGCTTTTGGGTGACAGAGGAAGCTGCTCCCTGGGAGATAAGGAGACATTTCAATGTACATGCCTAGCATATTCTGTATTTGATGCGGACTGTGGCAAGGCATTTACACAGAGCGATAAACATTTTTTTTGCCTTCCAGAGAGAGTGAGACACACATGCTGTTTTGCAGGGATACATGAGACCCCGGATATAACCATGTTTTTGTGGCTTAAACTCTTGGCGTTTGGCTTGGCCCTTGTGGACGTGGATGTTTTCGGGGAAGGTAGGTACAATGTGTTACTCTTTTGTTTCTTTTGGAGCCACAGGTTCTTGAAAGCAGCACAAACCAAAAGCATGACAAATTTTTGAAATATCTAATCATTTTATCTACAAATGTCAGCCTCTTTCTCATTGTCATGTGTTCTTAGGGAGCTTGGGTAATCAGAAACTTAGCAAATATAACTAAATAAAGACCATTGGCAGCCATCAAGGTTCTCTGAAGGACATGGTCTTCGCTGTTAACAACGGAAACAGTTTCTGGATCATATGTTAACTTAGAACTGGGAAAAGTTTTCGGACTATTGGAAGTGTTCCTGAAAGAACAAATTAAGGTGCAGATGGTTTTCTGAGGTTAGCCATTTAAAAGCTACTGTTATGAGATAAAGCTCATGGATATAACCAGTGTAATTCATACGATGAAGCTCTCTTGTGTGAGAATAATTTAATAATCTGAAATTTTAACCAAAGTGGATTCTTTCCTGTCATGTCAGTTCTGTTTCAAACTGAATTTGCGGTCTTCAGCCATATGGTTAGTCTACCTTGCATTAGTTTCTGTGGTATTCTGAACTACGTAGTACTTGTGTTGTGAAGCTAGCTGGTTGGATGGCTCACTGAGTTAGGGATTTCTTTGCAGAGCCAGAGGTTGGGAATTTGGTTCCCCACAGTGCCTCCTGCATGTAGAGCCAGCTTGTGTGGCCTTGAGCAAACTGCAGAGTCCCAGGATGCCCCCATAAGAAGGAAATGGTAAACCGCTTCTGAGTCTTGTTGTGTACCTAGAAAACTCTGAAACGGGTTGTCATGAGACAGAATTGACCTGACAGCACATTAGATGATGATGATGATGATGATGATGATGATGATGATACTACTACTACTACTACTCAGGGAGTAGTCAAGACCAGTGGTTCTTAACGTGGGCGATAATGCCCCCCCCAGGGGGCAATTTCATTTTTCAGGGGGGCAGTAGAATGAAAAGGGGTGGTGTGGGGGTGCTGGAGCAGAAAGGTGGCAGTAGGGGGGCGCTGGAGAAAGCTAAACCTTTGAAGATGGCTGCAGCCTTTTTACAGTGTGCATGAATATATATTTTCCTCCAATCTTAATTTAGTTTCAGAGTTTTTGTCTTGAAAGTTTTAGTTCCTGCATTGCTGTTTGTTTTTATGCCCTTTTTTATATTTCTTTTTGAGTCTTAAAATTCGCTTGCAACTACGTAAATCATTAAATGTTACTTTTTGGGGGCATTTCATTTTCTTGGAATTGAATTTTGTTTTCAGGGGTCATTGGATTTAAGTGTCATAAATAAATAAATAAATAAATAAATAAATAAATAAGATATCATCACCGTGGGGAAGGGGGTGATCATAACTTCTTCAATGGCTCAAGGGGGCGTTTCTTTCAAAAAGGTTAAGAACCACTGGTCAAGACAACACTACTTTTGAACACATTTTGAAAGGATCTTTGGAAGAAATTCTGAAATATTCTTAAGTTTTTCCCTGTTTATGTGCAAACATTTAAACTGTTTAGGATTGCAGTTTTTGTGTCATTATTTTTGAACACTTCATACCAAGCAATAAAATTGTAGTTTAATGCTTTACAAGTAGACAGATTTTCTTAGGGCTGTTTATGCAATAATATCGCAGTGTTTTTTTCTGTCCTTTATAAATGACGTCTCTATTAATCCTTGAGCCACACCCTGATCTCAGAGCCTGTATGGAGTCCTTCAGGTGTCAAGCTGTACTCTTTCAAATATTGTATTTCTCTCATGTGAGCAGGCAAAATATTGTATGTTTTTGTTGCCTCGACAAGTTTTTGCTTGCACGGTGTAAAGTATGAAATATGAACAGAACTGAGCTGCTACCTTGTTGCATGGACAAATAAAAACTAGAAATAGTTAGTACTTTTGTGTCATGTAGCTATAGTTCCCTTCTATAGTGTGCTTCTTCAAGGGCAGTTACATTAGTTTTGTGTGGAGTGTGTTATTTTACTTGAATTGCAGAAACTGTGACCAGACAAAAAGTGTTCCTTCTCTTGCTTTGGAGTTAAGAAATCTTGCAGGGTTTGGAAGTTCCTCCTTGAAATGACTTTTCATTCTGAGACATGCTAAATCATCAAGATTGAAGAATTCAGCAAAAAAAATTTTTACATTTCTAATCGAGTTACACACCTGAGATTACTGCACCTGTTGGTGGAGAGACATATTAACTCAGCATTGACAGACTGAACGGGAATTTGAGAGTCGCCAAAGTGTTGCAGATTTTGTGGAAATTTTAGTGGCAGAGTGTGGTGGTTTAGTGCTGAGTTTGTAAATAATGGATAAGAAAATAACAAGACGTGGAGGTGAAGACAGGCAGGCATGAAAACGTATTATTTGTTGTATCATACAAGATCTAGGGATAATGCAGGAGGGAAGGTAGTGCAAAAAAGAGAGGAGGTGCTACTTCCTCCATGCCTGGTTTTGAGGGTCATTAGAGCCAGGCCATGTGGGTAGAATGGCTAGGAAAGCTGCCTGTGATGCGGCACCAGCAACTTCCCTAGTTACTCCTTCTTATTCCTAGTTTTTACTCCTCCAGTAAAACTCAGGGAGCATCCAAGAGGTAGGCGCCCAGTAAGGTGGAAGCTATTTTGGTAGTCCTATGCTCTGCCATCTTCAGCAAGATCACTTCACCGAGGGTCCAATCAGATGGCTGCAAAGCTTCATGCCTAATTGCACTGAAAAGGTTTGCTTTAATGGGTATGGTCTATCATAAATCAACTCTTCTATCTGCCAGGAAATCATTCTAGCCCAGCCTCTCCCCCCCCCACCACCAAAGCCCTACAGTTGGACCAAAAAGGTCCAGATTGTGCATAAATCAAGGTTGGACTGGAGTACATTTCCCCATATGTCGTTGACTGCTGGCAAACAGATTGCACTGGACTGTTCCACAAGCAGTCAGAATTGCTCTCTTTACCCTCATGCCATCTTGAGACTAGTGGCAGGAGTGGTACTGCAGGAGAGAAAATTAGCTGGGCTATGCCTCTTGCCTCCTTACTGGAGCAGATCACTTGCTACCTCTGTTGGCACTCTGTTCTAACAGGAAGCACTCTTAAAGGGAGAGGGGCTATGAGAGGAATGGAGGGAAGAGCATTCAGATTATTTTACAGCTGCTAATCTTCTACAAATTCTCCCTTGAGGTTGGTTGTCCCATGTGTTTCAAGGCATGCTTTGCAAGGGGGGCGGGGAGAGATAAAAATAAAATCAACGAAGAGAGGTCTGCTTGGCCGAGGGGAAACATATGTATAGCAGAAAGAGTAAAAATCAAATTCCTGCTTACCAGGTTTTCCTTCAAATCATTTTCCCAGGTTACCGTTATGAGGGGAACATTGAATTGCATGTTTCCTTTTAAACATCTAATTCTACCCATGGTTTGCAGTCATTGGTAACATAAATTGAGTTCAGATCTCTTTGTGACATTTTAAGCCTGCTAAAAATGAAAAGTGTAGAAAGGGGAGGAATAAGTCACCTGTGAGCTTTAGAAAGGTCCGTGGCACATTCTAAAGTATTCTAAAATTTACAAGAAGCGTGGTGGTGTTTCTCAGAGTGCTTCTTGCCGTTCCTTTGGATCTCTTGGTTTTGAAATGTTGACATTGCCAACCATCTTTGGATCAGCACCCATTAAACACAAAATCTAAACATTTCTTTTAAAATTCCAAGTGGCAGACAAAGGCCAGCTTCTGAAAACGCATTTATTTATTTCTCACCTGTTAAGTATTCAATACTTGTGTGTGTGTCTGGGTATAGTACTACAATCAGAATAGCCATCAAAACCAGATGGCAGGTAACTGTTGCATAGGATATGAAAATAAGCAGATACTACAAAGCCTTAAAAACAGAATTCTGCCTTACGCATTTCCTTTTTGTAACTGACTTTCTTCAGCTGACTGTTGTTCTCTTTTCTTTAGAAAGAGTAGACCAGTTTCTGTCTCTGCAGCTCACCTCTATTGTTGCATTATGCAGTGTCTAACAGAGAAGGCAAGGAAAGGGGTTGGAAAGGAGGCTATATGACAATAGATTTCTTTAAAAGGCAGGTTTTCATCTATTTGTCTGCATGAAGTAGATGTCCGGGGCATGTGCTTTCTTGACTAATTGTTGCTAGAGAAATCTGAAAGACTACTGAGGTTTTGTAGGCGTTCTAATGCTGGAACAACTCTGCATTATTTCAGAACAGATTCTTTTAAAGATTATTTTACTTTGTCTTTATTGCCAAGCAGGTTAATTCCTTTTTCTGTTTAGTTCTGTGAAAAATATGATTAATCACATCTTTCGCCAGAAAGGCAGGCAGTTGGATGTAAAAGAAGCTTGCATTTAAAACTGTTGGTGGACTCCAGCCCTTATGGATATTTATTCACAGGAGTACCATTGTTTTAAGTGGGACTTCTATTGCTCAGAGACATCTCATCTCGCTCTTTCCCATGCCTACAATGGGACTCAAAGTGCTCTCTTCCTGGGATGGTTGAGGGTTAAAAACAATATACTGTAGTAAGGCAATATTGGTGGGTAATGTTGTAAAGTAGCATTTTGTCTATTAGTTTCATTTATTTACACACACACACACACACACACACACACATACATAAGCTGTGTTTTGCCACAAAGTGGGTTCCAATACATAAATCTCCTGTCAGATCTCTCTCTCTCTCTCTCTCTCTCTCTCTCTCTCTCTCACACACACACACACACACACACACACACACACACATATATTCATTATTTGTTTGTTCCCCTCTTTGCTTGGGTGGGGAGGTGGTTTCTGTGGGTGTTTTTCCCCCCTTTCCATTGTTTGCTCGTGTTTTTATGTGTATGGCCACTCAGAGTAATGGATTTTCACTAAGTGAGATGATATAAACATGTATCAAATCAATCTGAAATCTCCCAAATTTCTTATAAAAGAGCAAAAACACAAGTATAAAAGAGAATATAAATTCTGCATTTGTGGAGACACCACCGCCCTGCCTATGCTTCCAAATCAA